AGTTTTGAACCAAATCGTAGCTTTCTAACAAAACATCGCCTGAAAAAAGTCTCAAAATGCAGAAAAACTGCATGCAAAAAGCAAATAGGCTAGATATGGCTCAGTTGATAAAAAACAGTGAATATATCTCTTCACTTTTTGCAGTACACATAACACTCGGATTTAAATCCGAGGTTTTCGCATTTATTTTTTATCATGATTAGATTTTTTTCGATTATACGAAGCAATAATGATATAATTAATTACTTATGAAAAATATTTAAAATAATTCTCTTTTTATTCTGATTTACTATTTCGTGGAAGAATCTGTTTTTTATATTATCTTTATGTAAATAAACTAAGTGAATAACTAAAATTAGAATGATACATTAATTTATATTAAATAATGTTTTCCAAATTAGTACTTACGTTATTTTCTAATTAATTATTCGAGAAATCATAATATAATTTTTACATTAGAATCGTCTTTTGATTGATATTCATAAATTTAAAGAGTAGAGTTTAAGTTAATAATGCTATTTTTACTTTATCAAAATGTTTGACATTCAAAAGTAAATGCGAGTATAAAAATGAAGAGATAGATAACATATTTTTTATCTGTTGTTAGAGATTGCCATAGCGGCACGGTGGCCTTGTCTATTCTAAGGTCGTGACGCTACAGATTTCCAATTAAGATGGATATCTAAAATTGTTCTGTATCATATCCTTGATCATTAATGAATAACTTTAGAAGATGTTGAACTATAATAAATATGAGATACTTTCTGTAACATTAAATCAAATATTAATAGATTTATTTCAATAAAAGATGAGTCAACATTATCAATACATATGATTTTTGAAATTATTTATAAATTTTTTAGGTTTCGAACCAGTACGTATCAGTATTCAAGGTGAGGTTATTCGTGATCTTGATTCATCAAATACAAATAATAGTCATCAAAGTCGTAAAACTGGTCTTGGTGATAGTGATGATGAAGAACAACAAGCACCATTAAATGTAAGTGAACGTTCAACCATGGATATATATCGACAACGACAACAAAAACGTGTAAAACTTACAAAAACAAATTCTACTGATCAACTACAGTCCTTGCAACGTATTGCTACAGTAAACGAGAAAACAAACAGAAAATTAGGACATAATATTGACTGTAGCGATCCTCGTTGTGAAGGTTGCAAGTAACACCTCCGGTGCTTACTTAGTTTCTCTGTGTTCTTTTTTTTCTGTTCTCTTTTTGTATTTCTATGTCACGTTCATTCTGAACAATTTTTGTATGTAAATATGAAATGATCAATGATCAAAATCAAATTTAAACTAATGGATTAAAAATATTTTCTTATCTTATTTTGGTACTGAAAGAAAGAATCCTATAGAAATCGATGATTGTCATTATCTAATGAGGAAATCTCTTCAAGGGATAAAAAGCTTTTGAGACGAGATTTGTGTTATTATTATTGGGTAGATTCTACGAAGAATAGACAAGAAGTATGATAATGCGTGTCCTTGTTATTTTCTTTCTGAGCTATGACTATTTTTACTGGAGTTTTTGAATCTTTTTTTTAAATAAGTGCATTGATTGAGAATTTGATATTATGAGAAAAGAAATATTCGTTCTAGTTGAAACTTCCACTATATGATTAGAGTTCATATGACTTATTTTTAGATCGAAGTAATGATATTTCGGTAGACTCTACTTTAAGCGTTGCTTTATTAATTTGTTGTTATTCATTAAAAAAATTAATTAAATATTAGAATACCTCAAAATATTGAAATATGTTTTCCGTCGATCATAGTTAATCAAAGCTTAATGTTTTTTTTTTCATTTTTTCAAGATTTTACACTCTTGTTTTTTGCTTGTAAAATATTTGCTGAAAAGATTTCAGATTTAATATATTCATTTTTTCGTATGTCATGGATAATACTGGTAATATCATTTTGAATCTGAACATTGAAACTTGGAGTTTTTTCAGGCTTTTATTTCAATATCTTCTGAAATATTATCATCTATAGTCTATTATTAAATTATTTAATAAATTGTTATCTTATTGGAAATATTTAACTTGTATTGGGATTCATCGTGGTACCAACTAATTCTTCAATGAAAAAAATTGATTATCGAACTGTTCTCACAAAGTTTGATGAACTCATTATGATAGAGAATATATAAGAAAAATAATTATATAGGACATAAAAATCACTTTCGATCCAGTGTATGTAGGTTAGTCTTACAACTATTTCATCTCGATAGAACTGTACTATACTAACTAACATGAGAAGTTCTCCAATTGATTAATCGCTCTTTTCTTTCGAGAATATCTGGCACAAAGATACAACTTTATATGAAAATAGTTTAATGTGAAAGTTTCAGATCTTTTCTTTATTCCTATTTTAAACTGAGAATATCGAATCTGCAATGTTTGTGGACAGTCGTAAAAGACACACTTCTATCATAGCCATATATTAAGATAAGAATAATGATAAAATCTGAAATTTTCAAAATAAAATATTCTCATATAATTTCTTACCTCTATGTAAATTTTCAAATTAAAATTTAGAAATCATTTCTCCGAGTGTTTCTAAAGAGAAAGTCATAGCATTGTAATAAAACGTACCATAAAAATCCAGTATTTTGACTGCAATAAACTAAAGACTCAAACTCTTTTCAAGATATGCATAATTCATTAGAGCTTATATGATGTACATAATCTCGACTTAAAATCAATAAACCAACTCAGGAATTTCTTTCGTGAATTATTAGATTTTCCAATGTGTGATATTTTAAAGTTGTTATTAGCTCTTTGAGCAATTTCATTACAAAAGCAAGAAACTATTTGACGAAGTTCAGAGTCTGAATGGTACATGAAAATATGATGTCACTTGATTTCATTTACACAACCATCTATTATTAAATCTTATATGTATCATGTCTATATTAAGATATCGTTTAATGATTCACATAGTTCTTGACAGCAAAATGAAAATATAGATAAGAGTTATCTTAAATATATTTCTTTATTCTTTTTGGTATATATAATATAAATATATGTCATAAGTAAAATTAAATTTTAGATAAAAATAAACTTAGGATAAATGTCGTTTTTAATTAGGCATAAAATAATTTTCATCTATTCATATTCTAACGTATACACGATTGACTTCGCCTACGTCGATATCAGAAAATAATTTTCGAAAGTATTTCTATTAATATTGAGAATAGCATTCCGAGAGAAAAAATTTATTGTTTTATCACAAGGAATATATAACTTAAAAAGCCTGTCATTGTTTTTTTTTGTTACAATATAACAGTTTAATATATTCATTTTTTCAATATTATCTATGAAGCAGGTCAAATTCGAAGACAAATAAACATAGTTTCTTTTTTTTATTGGAGTCTGATAAAGAGGGAACCTTCCCATCTTGAAAATTGTTTTGGAGCTCGAACGTTGCGCATCAAGCCAATCCCAATGTGCTATTATAATATCCAAAATGACAAGCGCACCTAGACCTCTCGTAGATAATTATAGATGTTTTACTGATATTTTAGCTTATAGCGCGGTATATACAAAAGAATCAAGTAACGATATTTTGATCTGAAATTTTCCGAACATTCTAATTTCAATCTATAGGCACAGTTTCAAGTCAAAATATCGCCACGCAATTTTTTTGTGTATACCATGCAAAGACTAAAATTTCAGTAAAACTTCTATAACTCTGTTGGAAAGACTTAAACACCTTTATCCTTTCACGGTTGACGTTAAGCAAAAAGTTCAAACTCAAAAACGATTGTCAAATTGAGAAGATTCTCTTGTAAGACAAATTAAATTTCGATTGAATATACTGACGAACCCTTGAAGTTTCTGGAACCATTTATAATATCAGTTCTTTATTCTTATGTTTTTATTTTTAGATGACTTGTTTTGAGGATCTTTCAGGTGAAATTCTAATGGTTATATTTGAATATATGGATGTTGAAGATATTTGGACAATATTTTTTAATATGAATACAAGATTTAATACACTTGTATTTGATTCTCGTTTACGTTTAACAGCTAATATATCACAAATTGATAAAACGAAATTTGATCAATTTTGTTTATCATTATTGCAAACAAATTGTAATAATATATATACATTAATATTATCGAATAATTATTATCGTTATCCACAAATTCAACAATTTTTATTTTATACAAATTTTAGTTATTTTCAATCATTATATTCATTAATATTAATTGATATTAATTATGATGAATTAATCAAAATAACAAAACAAATAAAACAATTAACTAATTTAAATCATTTACATATAAATACACATGAAATTTTTCGTGATAAACAATTAATGAATGTTACACAAGCATTATTTAATCAACCAAATATACGTGTTTTAGGACTTGATTTTCATGAAGTAAATTATTTTAAAATTCGTTAGTACATATGAAAGTTAAAGATCTGTTTTGAATTAGATATAAACTAAACTGTTATTCAAAGTTGAATAATGTATCTTTAATAGAAATCTGTGCTTTCAGTGATATACTTCAATTTCTTTAAGGTTACTCAGTTTCAAGAATCATAGTGCACTAAATAGGTCTTTCCCACGTAGGAATTTTTTAAAAATATATTTCAAACTATAGCACTCGGATTACTTTTATTGCAAAGAGAACTTCTTTTCATTTCGAATAAAGGAAAAGATGTTTTAGTTTTGTCGTTTTTATAGACAATTGAATCATGAATCTTTAACAAAAATATTAAAGCATGATGATATTGAAAAAATATTTGATAGGACATTCATTCTGGTGGGTTCATTAAATTTTATAATTAAACATTTACTATATTCATCATTTCTTTTCCTATGTCGAGTTGTTTGCCATAACAGTTTTATTATTAACATTTTTCATTCGATGATCATACCGGTCCTAAATAAACAATTAAGCTCTAGGACTGTAGATACCAGTAGTGAATTGAATTAAAATAAAATAAGAGAAAGAAAAAGTATAAGATTAGAGAGAGTCCCACCGACGAAGCAACTTTCCGCTGCTTATAAACAAGTATATTTGTTTATCAAACTAAGATTATTCACCACAAAACGAATTGTTAATCCTTGGCAGACTATCATTAAGGCCCCCCCTAAAAAAAAGTCAATTTTCGAGAAAAAAAACGAAATTGAGATAAATGCGTAGGAAGATAGCCCATGATTCGCTCTTTCAGAAATGATATAGGTTTTTTCCAAAAACGCTTCTTTGGCTGAAATTTTTGATGATTTCTGTGATGCGCTCCACAAAAAATACGATTTTTTCGAAAAAAATTATTTTTTGGTATAGTACATAATTTAAGAGTTTAAAGATGTTCACCATGTCATAAAGATCCTTTTTATACATAACTCATCATTATATGGATTATTGGTAGTTAAGTTCTTTAGATAAATGCTAAAAATTTCAACAAACTATAAAATGTCAAAAAGCAATCTTGCAAAAATGTTTTTCGTTTTTTCTCAATTTTCGTTTTCTCGAACGTGCATCCCAAATTTCTCTTTAATGGTCCATATAATGTATTAATATTTTTTTCTGTTTGAAAGAGCGTGTCAAGATGCAGGGCACCACGTTGTCCTTTTTTTGAAATACGCTCTTTTTATAGTCAATATAATGGCAATGATGTAATTTTCCCACCATTTTTGAGCAATGAAACTTGTCCCCTCTTTTTTTTTCGATTAAAAAGGAGGTATTTAAAAAAAAGGAGAACGTAGTGCCCTGCATTCTGACACGCTCTTTCTAACAAAAAAGAAATATCAATACATTGTATGGACCGTTACAGAGAAATTTGGGATGCCGTTTTCTCTATTTTTCGATCTTGTTTCGTCAATATCTTCCCCAAATGAAATGGTTTTGGACTGAACATTTTATCATAGACTTCCCTTAATATCTCCAATATATCCTGTAAATTTCAGCTGATTCGAATGTTCCCGGGCCGAGATCGATTTTTGAGGGGGGGGGGCTTAATCAAGATAAAATCGTTTTACCCATAAAACTATTTATACAAATTATTCTCATCTGATTAGTTATGAAAACAACAGTTTTAATTAAGGAATATCAATTAATCCATCCAGACTCATATCAATGCTCTAAAATTTACATCATTCAACAGGTAACATGTACATAATTCTCCTAGAAGTTATGTTTAAAGACTAATTCTACTCTATCTTTTTCAAAACAAAATATAATTCGATTTTAACGATACAAAATGATACTGTCAAATGAAATATCTAATTTCGGTATATCATTTGATACCAACTAATCGATTATTATAATGATTTTGAACTAAAAGATGCTTTTTCAAACAGTAATTATAGTGAAGCTCGTTCATCTTATCTTACGTGATGCAAAATACAAGTTTTATCAAGTTGCTATGCCTAAGACCTTTTTTGAAATTTGTTTGATAGAACTAAAAGTTTTACTACAGATCCTTGGACGTGTGTCTCTTAACTTTTTTTTCTTTGTGTTTTCAATATTATCATTTAGTGCAGAATATTAGCATTTTTAGATGTCACGAACTGACTTCTCGGATACTTCTTTGTAGTTTATCTCAATCAAAAAAAAACGAAATAAGAGACTTGTCATAATACGAAAAACAACAAAATTTGAAACGTATAGTGCTGAAATTAGATGGAGGCCGTGATAAATCAGATGAAATTCTGCAAAAACGCGTGTAATACTTTCAAAATGTCCTTAGCAATATTCTTTAATTCCCTTTATTTTCTAACTTCTATCAGCCATAAAATCCTTAATTTATGATTGTTGAATATTAGATATCATTTAAAGAAAAAAAAAGAGAAAAGCATTCTTAAATAAATCAGTCTAAAAACTATCTCATTTTTATACCTTAAGAATACAAGGTCAATTTCATTCGTTAGTGACATAATTTCAAAAATTAAAAATGCGTATATCTCTGAACTTTGTTTTAGTACATGTGTTTCCATTTACCAATACTGCAGGTTCGACAAGTATCTTTGAAAACTAAATGGTACATTTTGTAAAAGGCTCCTCATGTTAAAAAGTCTCTATACAAAGGCTTTTTCTTGGTATATTTAGTTTTCTCACAAAATTAAGTTTATTTATTGTTTCCTGGTACGAATATAAAAAAGAAAAATCTTCTTGGAGATCTTAAGATGAGAACAAACTAAAACATCTCGTTTTGGAATCACAAATAAAAAAATTGATTTTGTATAAGACGAATCTTGTTGACAATTTTACTATACATATAGTTTGCGCTAAGAGTCCATTCAAGAATTCTTGGACCTATTCGTTATAATGTTGAAGAGTTATTCTCTAATTACATTGTAATTGATTAACCAACTAGTTAATTAAGTTTCAATAGATTGAAGCTGAACGATCCAATATTTTAAAATATGTTCATAATAAAAAAGCTTGTTGGAAAAAGTAGCCCTTATAAAGAATCAAAGACAAATCAAACATGGTCATATTTCGTTTTGACTGATTTTGCCCATATATTTGCATTTGATCACTGATAAATTTGTATATATTTTTTTTCTAAGAAAACGCTGATTTTCTATTGATGCCAATATATTTAAATGAAATGATAAATAAAATAAAGACAAACCTTGATACAATACTAGCTTGAGCAAAATTTTCTCCAACAAAATTAACAGTTGAAATTGGTTTACAACGTGAATATTTTGTAACAGCAGCTAAATTATCTCGAAATGCACCTAATCCACTGTCACCATTACATGATCCATCTAAAGAAAAGAAAATTTCGTTTTGAAAAATTATCAAAAAAAGAAGCTTGTTTTTTCGAACCATTTTCAACAGTCAATCTTAAGGAATTTCTTGTTGAAAAATAAATATTCGTTAAATCATCCATAAAACGCATCATCATCTTTGTTCGATTTTCAATATCATCATTGCTCACTAATCCATTTGGATTTGTTTCTTCTGGTACCTTAATTTGAAGATTTCAATTGTTTTTAGTTCATAAAGAAAAGTTAAAAGACTTACAACAGCTCCACTTGGAGCCATTCGTGATCCAAGACATTCAGTTTTTGTTAAAGTTGAAGAATTTGTTGTTGCGGTTGTGGCTGGTAAAATTGACGAGGAAGAGATTAATGATGTCGATGCTATTTGTTGTTTATCGATTTTCATATCCGGTGTTGCACGAAGATCCTTTTAGTGAAAGAGAAAAGAAATTTTTATTTCGTATTTCTTCTCCACATGAAAAAGAGTTTATAAAAAAAGAAACGGTTAAAAATGCGCTCTGAAAGTCTCAAAACTCGATTATCAAAAACCATGTGTGAATTCCTTCTCGAAAAATCGCTTTTTATCAATTAGGAATATATTTAATAAAAAACAATTCATTGTTAAGTACGTGCTTTTCTTTTAACAAACATTTTATTACAGAGATGCAATTGGTACCAATTACCCGTTGAATCTTCAGATCAGTCATTACCGATGTGTAATACAACTTTGTTGGAAGTTGACTACGTCAAAAATCACTATTCACAGATAGAATAGTACAAGAATTCGTTATGCTAATCTAATCAGATTGTTACTGGTACCATGATCTCTGACCTAGTCAGTGACGTATCCAGGATTTTTCAGTATGCTGAATCTCGACTTCCGAGTGTGGGACCCAGATGAAACTCATGGAGGGTGATGCTGGGTCCAAATGATGAAATT